GTGCTATATTTTTTTAGTTATTTTAGAAAAACAGTTTTTTTCAACTTTGCGATTTTTTTTAACCATGTTCGCCATATTGGATCGAGTTTAAAGAACAAGAAACTCAATTTAAAATTTAATTTTCTATACGGTCATATTTTTTTTGTCCAGGTAATAATTTCTGCAAATTTAACATTAATCCGTGACAGAATGCTTGGACTATATGTGTGAGAGATCAGTGGGGAGTGCGGATGTACCTTGTGGATTGCGGGGCGGATATAATGCGTCGCCAAGTGAGTCTTCGGGAAGCTTCGGAAGCTTAACAAAGTTCTATGTATTAGTGTTATTCTGTAGTTTCGTTATATTTTCGCTACTAAGCCTTGATAGATTCTGTAGGTAAGTAAACTCCTCATCCTCACACAGGAGGCGGCGGATAAATACGCTTCTTTGATATCCAATTTGAATCTCGAATTTGAAAACCGATTTCAGGATTTTAAAAAACATCATGTAGTATTTTGTGCATTTGCAACGCCATTTGCTGTAGACGTGAATTTATTACCTGGAAGATTGCAATTGGAACATTGTGAAATGTGTTGTGATACTCAGTTAAAGGAGAAATTCCAACAAGTTGGTTTAGAAGAGTTCTATAAAACGTATTTGGATAAGTATAAATATCCTGAGTTTTACAAACATGCTTTGTTCATGGTTTCACTATTTGGAAACACTTATGCGTGTGAACAACTTTTTAGTCGCATGAAGCACATCAAATCACAAGTGAGAACACGAATTACCGATGCTCATTTGGAAACTGTTTGCTTGTAGCAAACAGTTTCCAAATCGTTGCAGTCGAGATCAACATTGACGCACTTAGTTCGGCAAAATAAAGTCAGGTTTCTCACTAAAATATTTTTGAATTATATAATAAATATGTTTGATTCTCAGATATATTTTATTTTCCTCAAAAAAAAATACATATTTCTTGTTTTCTTTAGCATTAGAATTGGCAACCGTTTAACCACGATTTCAACTACTGGGAAGGGTTTTATAAAAAAAAAGGTAAGTTAGGTGTGTGGCCCGGTGGCAAATATCATTTCTGAAAATTGGCCCGGTCGCTGAAAAGGTTGGCCACCCCTGCTTTAGATGTTTATTAGATATTGAAGGTATAATTCAATGGTGAACGGGGCATGTAGCTCACACAGTAGTTGTTTCATTTTCATGTCATATGCATATCAAGTGGAAAAACGTAGTATTTTCACATTTCAGTTACTCCAGGTGTTTTTTAAAAATGGAATTATCTACAAGTGCTAGTGTCTAATCTGTTAATAATCAGAATCATGGAAATTAATAAATTTAACAGATCACATTTTTATGAATTTGTGAGCAAAACGCAGGTGTCAGTGTGTGACACCATGTAAATACGCAGTTCATTAAGAAAAATGTGTCGGAAATGTTAATAGTACTCTAAAATGTGGTGAAAGTGTAAAAAAGCAGGAAAAAATTGAAATTGACAATGAAGTTAATTATGCGATCTGTAGGAAAATTCATATATTTTATTTTAAAAATTAACTTGCAACATTAACAAAAATTCAAACTACAATCACAAAAGGTACAAATTTTTGTTATATTGTAAGAGTTTTACTGGATACTGTGCATGAAATGAACTTTTGTTACTCAAAAACGTAAATGAAAAATCGTGCTAAAAAACTAAATTGTAATTTGGTGAATGGAATTTAGAGGGAGAAAAAATAATGAAGTATACATCAAAAACAAAAATGTATTATCTGAACGAAATATGGATAAATGAGGGAAATAGGGTCTCCAAGGTTTGAGAAAATTCAAGTACCAATAATAGATGAGAAACACTTCTAGAAATATTTTCTATGGGATTGAAGTTACCTCCAGGGAAAGAACGATAGTTAATAATTAATTCTTACAGATATATCACATATATCATGTGTACACGAACTTTTAGATGACAATTTACATATCTGATCAATTTCCAGACTGGTTGCCACGTTGTTGGTTTAAGCTTCTTGACGTTACGAAAGACATAAGTTTCTCTTTTTCAGAAGAAACTCTAAACATAATTCAGAAAATGAAAACGATATGTCTCACGAAACGTTCAGATGACAACAGTTATTACGTTAGTAACAGTGATAGTGATAGCAAAGTAATTACTGATTTTACTAGTACTTATAGGTAGATTCTACTGTCTTGGAGGTACATCACATTTTCCAGTGATGTTTGTACTTTTAGGAATTTCAGTGATTTTGTCACCTTACACTTACAATATTATAATGCAAATAGACTTTAAGTAGGGGCGAATTGTCCAATGTGTGATAGAATTGCTGAATGCATACTTTAGTAAAAATAAAAATGCACCTACCCACCTAACTGGATACCTAGGTAAGTGTAAATTTGTGAATAATATAGTTTTTATCAAAAATGCACTTACTGTATGAGCAGAATCAGAAGGTTCACCACAGCAGGGACACAGCTGAAGAGAAAGTGGATCATCGTCATCGCCAAAATCATTATCACCATGGTTTACAGTAATGTGTCTTTTTAGACCCTACAAATATTCTATATAAAAACTACTTAAATAAATATCCTCAACTTACCGCAGTAGTTTTAAACGATTTGTCACAAATATCACAAGCTACCAGGTCTTCATCCTTTTCTTTTTTTACATCATCCACTTCTTTATTTTCGTTTTCAACTGTCTCATCTGAAGGATCATCTACAGATTCTTCAGCTTCTTCATAAGTATATTCCATAGCCACATCATTGGTTTCATCGTCTTCTTCATTGCCTTCTACAAATTCAGTGTGTTCTTCTATTACGTAATGAATAGTACTTTCCTCATCACCTTCCTGTTCTTCGTAAATTATTTCTTGACTATCTCCATGTTCGAATTCTGTATTACTAAAATTAAATCATAATGGAATCATATGTTAGTTACATTAAAAATCATAACTACGAACATGCATGTCTTATCTAGGCTATATTGGTATATTATATATTGTAACTGATTACTTATAACTTTAAAATCATATTTATATTTCCATTCTGATAAGATCAGAATTTCTATCAACATATTACGATATTAATATAGGTAAGTAATTTAAAAATAAAAATTTTATAATTATTATATTATACTTATTAACTTTTTTTTCTGTGTATGAATGTAAGTAGATAAATTTAAAAATAAAAATATTTAGTAATATTTACTCACAATGTTGCAATTTTTATATTCTATTAACTTTTTTTTCTGATATGTGTAACAAAGTATAGATAAATAGTTAAGCAACAACTGAATATTTGGTGATTATAATCAGGGCTCTCACAAGCCAATCTGCAAGTTATTACAAGAAGGACCGGCAAAAATAAGTCATTGATAAAGAATTCAACTGTTTCCTTCGTCCATCTTCTCTAAAGATAGGTAGGGACAAGAGTGCTAATCTTTCATTTGCACATAGACAGTTTGCGGTTTATTAGAGCATTGATTTAAAATTACATGGATATGACCTACTCTATGATATATGTATGAATGACGTCTTCTTCCATGGAAGCAGCAATCTCCAGATTTCCATCAGAGTTATTTTCAGAAAAATCATTGAAAATTATTGGAAGCTCTTCACCTGCCTCATTAAGTTGTATATTCTGAAGAACAACAGTTTGAACTGTATTATTCGGTGATTTAACGTTATCTATACATTCTTCATTCTCATTACTTTCAGCTTTAACAGCTGTTGTCTCTTCTTTAATGGGAACAACCACTATAGGGTTATCCATTTCCTATAATTATTGAGATTAAATAAACCAACAGTGGTATATTCTTACATCGATAATTTTTACATATTGGCAATTATTGGCATATTGGCAAATATGTATTCACGTAAAATTCATATTTTGAGTTTGTCAAAAATATACGGCAAAATGTATGCACTTCATAGTGCATTCAAATGTAAATCAAAACGCAACAAATGTATACAATTGGCTTAAAACTGCACATATTTAGGATTAGGAAAATTTTAAAGAATTAGGTTATGTTTTGACCCCCATACATTAATGAAAACACGACACTCAATGCAAGCTTGTTAAGGAGAAAGTCTAAAATGAAATTTCAACTTCATTACGATTACTATTCTAATCGTATCTAAGAAGTTATATAACACTATAGATGTTAAAATAGCTTTAAAATATAACTCTTTCTTAAATTTCGTATGTTGAGATATTTTGTGAATGATTAAATTATTAGAAAAAATTATCTAGTACTTACGCCCCTGAAAGTGGACAACCGTTTTATCACGGGTACAAATAAGATGGAGGCAGGCTATTTTTCAGGCGCGTCATTTTCTGACTGCGCATGACAGACAAAGTATAAATCACGTGACTATAACCATAGCAACGCATCATATCGTTGTCAACTGCCTATAAAGTTTGAAATGTCAATGAATTCTTTCATTACAAAAATTTACAAAATCCCATATTTTAAATAAAATTATGGCCGAAGATATTAGTCCAGAAGTAATAAAGAAGACTCAGAAGATTTTAGGAAAATATGTAAAAAAGCCAGCATTAACGGATAAATTATTGAAGAAACCTCCATTTAGATTCTTACATGACATCGTTATTTCTGTTATCAAAGAAACTGGTTTTCTTAAAGGATTATTTTCTACACAAGAGCTTATATCTGAAAATGTTAAAGAAAAAGAAGCTAAAGTTGCTTTTCTAAATAAACTTATTGATGCTGTTAGTAAGTATGTTAGTCTCGCTACTATCTTATATTATATCACATAATTTTAATGACTTTAATTTTATTCTTAAAAAGAGCACTAATAATTTGTGAATCTTTCTTAAAACTAGTTTTATACAAACAATGCAACAATTTTTGTAGAAAGTGTAACAAAAACTGATCTCACAGTACGGGCTAATAAAATCGTCGCAGGATTGGAACCATTGAAAACAAATTTATTTTTGCAAGCCATTGGAAAAGCAATAGAAGACAAAATAGATACTACCGAGTACATTACTCAATTAAGTTCTGGGCAGGTGGATACAACCGAGAAAAAAAAGTTGAAAAAATCGATTCCTAAAAGAGATGACAAAGGGAAAACATCTAAAACTAAAAATACAGATGATTCCAGCAACAAAGTTAATAAAGCCAAAAAAATTAATGATTCTCCAAGAAGTAAAACTAAAGCAAATACTCCAAAGGATTCGTCAAGGGACAAAAATAAGTTGGATAAAAAAAATGTTACAGAAAAAGAAAAAATAAAGGAAGGCAGCAAGAAAGAAGTTGTGGTAGAAGTTACTACTCCAAAGCAAAGCACAATTATGTCTACAGATGTAGATCAATCTATAGACAAGGTGGATAATCAGAGTAACAAATCTGATAATCAGATTAAAGTACATGAACAGGAGGGTGAAAGAGAACATGAAAAAATAACAGAAAATTCATCTAATTCTAAAGCACTAGAAAGTGTTAAGGCGGAGATCCTTAATAAACAATATGAAGATATAAATAACCAAAATCCTGAAAATAAACAAGTTAAAAGTGACACGCGGAGCTCAAGACCCAAGTCTGCTCATCCTAATAACGAAAATGAAAGTGTTTCAACAATCAAACAAAAAAATATAAATGTTGATAAAGATGAACCTTTAAAACCATTGCAAATAACTGGTAAGGATTTATTTTAAATTTAAAGGTAGTTTGGAATATACATTTTTATGTTTATTTTATTTATAGTCATCAAAATATGTAAATATTAGGACGACAAAATAATAAAAAAAGTATAAGTATTTTAGACAATTAATTTGGAAAATTTTAGCACACCAACCACAACGACCAAAAAGTTCCTTGAGACCACCAAGTGTACGTCCATCAAGTGCAAGACCTGGTGCACCTCGTTTAAGACTAGATTCTGCCTTACCCCTTCAAGAAAGCATAACGATGGGTAATATCAATGTCATTATCGAGAATGTTGACAATATGGATGATGAAGAGACAGTCGTTATTCAGACAACTTCAGAAGTGGCTGAAGAAAATTTTAATTCCCTAGATGTGTCAAAAAGCAACAAGGGTCAATTAGTTGAACAAATCTTAGAGCAAATACAAGAGGAAGGAGAAGGTCTTAAGAAAAAAGTTGATATTGATTGGGAACAAGATGGTAAGTTGGAAAATATTTTGCTAGTCAACTAATAAGTACGTAGGGAGTGTAGCTTTAAGAGGGGAATCAGTTTTTTTAAGCCATAATTTGCTTTTTAAGCTGAACTTAAAATTGTCTAATCTGTCACTGGGCAACTCCCAAACTCGATAGCTCGATAGTATCTTATGCGTATCATGTTGACTCTTTTTAAACTAGTCCATTAAACTAACGGAGTGGCAGAAAGCGAAACTGCAACGGAAAATAACTTTGTAAAATCAGATTGCTTTTGTATGTTATTTTAAACTCGTGAATCATATTTTTTTATGTCAAATGGATAAAATGATAGACATTAGAAACATTTACGGGTGCATAATTTATTAAATATTTTCTGGTGGTAATATATTTTTATGTGGATAGTAATTGTAAGTAAAACTTTTATAATGTAATATAACAAAAATGAATAAACAAAACTCACCAATCTTATCAGATTGGTATCTGAAATACTTTTTTAGATCATTTCAAGTTTTTAAGGAAAAGTATTTATTGCAATTTTTTTTAAGCACTCTGTTTACTTTCTGAATTTCAGTGTTAATGTCAGCAGGGTGCTGGATGGGCAAAAAAACAAATGGCCAACGGGCCATATATTAATTTCACAAAACGAGAATATACGAGTATGTCACCACATAATTTTATTGTAGTTTTTAGTTTGAAGAGTTGGTAATACAGTAGGTAATTTCGTGACTTTCTGTGTGGGGTATTAGTTTTTACTGGAATCAAAACAGAATGTTTTATCAAGTTTAATTTTATGGTAAAATTTAAAGCGATATTTAGTGAATTATAAGTGTATATCCTATAAAGTTATTTATGTCACTGTTCAGTACCCAATCAGCATTGGTACGTTTTATGTATATACTAAGGTTGTATCATCCGGCTGTACTGTACATCTTATGTACGACGAGTTAAGTACTGATGACATACATAAGGCGTCTTCAGTACATACATTTTCCACAATGGTGGACGTCTTCAATACGTCCCGTTTAGATCCATTAGGGGACATAATGGGAGTCTATATTTACGTCTTCAGGGACTAAAAAAGACCAAATTTGGTACGTCTTCAATACGTCCAAAATTGGATCATAATATTGCATTCTACAGTATTCTGAATGAATATTACTAGTTGAAGAATTATAGCAATTTCCATTGATGCACTGAGTGTGAATTCAGTGTATCTCCATCCTGTATTATCTACAGTGAAAATAAAAGATGGAAATATACTCGGTGCGCACTCAGTGTGTCGATGGAAATCGCCACAAAAAATTTGAATTAGAATCTCGCAGGACACTTAAAGCTCAGTTGAAAAGTTATTTATTTATACCCAAAAGACACAGCTGAAAATACCAGAAAAGGTAAACTTGTCTGGTGAAAACCTTGAAGAAAATAGTCCTGCGCAAATAATATCAAAATTCTGTCAATTACCTATACTTAAAATAAATCAAATGTCCTTGGAAAACCTGTATTTTAAACTTAAATTTCGTATCTAATTTGTACACAATTTGTAATAAAAAAAAGGGCTGATCTGTAGTTTAGCATTTAAAAAAAAATGTTTTCAAACAATTACCTAAATGCTTTGAATTGTTCCAATATCTGTAAACAACACTTCAAAATCAGACTTAAGTTTTAAGCAAAATGTTAGTATTAAATTTTGATACTTCATTAAAACAAAAACTTAAAAATTTAGTTATAATTTGTGAGTAAAACGGTGTGACTGTACATAAGATCGTTTGATCCCATATATAGGCTTTTTTTAGCAGTTTATTCATTTAAAGAGCATCTTAACACCATTTATTTTTAGTCAATCACATAAATTATTGCATAGTAATTATCATAAGCATGTGTTGAATAATACAACAAAATGTATTTTATTTTATATTTGTTTAAGTTATATACCTATTTATAACACATCTTCCTATTACTCATATATTTATTTTATTCGGTCCCGGGCCCTTCGTAGCCAATTTCTTAGCGATGTTTCTGATTCGTAAGAGTCTAGCCCTTCCTGCTCTATGTGCAGCATCTAAAAATAAAATTAAAATTTAGCCAATCCTAAAGTATTAATTTATAGAAAACAACATGCACATAATTGTTTTACTCAGATTAATCTAAAAACTTCTGATTTATTGCAGGAATCATGAAATTACTTAATTTGTTATTGTTTTAATTTAGAAAGTATTCAATGAGAAAGGTGACTTTTTTATATATCAGCCAATGGATATTGAGCGTGATATGGGAATCTTGAACGATGATTTTCAAACCCTCGTAGTTTAAAAATCATCGTTTGGGGTAGGGTAGAGTCAAATCCAGTAGGTAGGTACCTTTCGAACAGAAGGCAAACATTCGATCTCACTACACTAGCATTCATTCACTTGCATTCATATTTCCAAACGTTTATGTAAAATAGCGTATTGCAATTTTAATGATAATTACAATACTTAAAATTTGTAAAAATTAATTTTGACTCACCGATTTCTAACTTTGATACCATATTATTGCAAAAACTTTTTTCTGTCTTCTACCTAAGCTTTATTGCTGTGCATATTCATTTGTTAATAATATTGCCATACATCTTTTAACAAAATCATAATTATCTTTGCCTCCAATCTTGCAGAATTCGGTTGCCTAAAAGAAAAATATTGGTAGTAAGAAATTATACATAGTGATTTTTATGTTGGGTATATCCTTCTATCGTCTTTTCCTGTGCTACTTTTTCAAAATACATATATTATAAAGTAGGTGATAATAATAATTTCGAAAAAGTGGCAAGTAAAAAAAACTGTTTACTTATTTTTTTTTTTAGCTTTATTTGGTGGTAGAACATACCCAACTTAAAAATCAACCTGTATAAGCAGGTAAAAGTAAAAGAAAAAAAATTAAGTTAAATACCATCAGTAATTCAGTAATCAAGTCAAAAACTTTTAAAAATTATGCAAAATTAATGACGAAAACTATTTTGTTGACTTTTATAGTCTTTTTATCAATAACTGTAGTAGCAAAAACATATAAACGTCAAATAATTATATTGAAGTCAGGTATATGTTAACAAAACAATATGGTACTTATTTAAAAAATAATACGTACAGCTTTTGCAAAGTTCTCATTTTCTAAGTATCGGTTTAGTAATTCAGTCATCATCTTCTTTTATAGGTAGATTAAATTTATTTAAAACTGATTCATTTGGATCTGCTATTTCAGTTACTCTGGAATTTTTTGAAGTAATTTCTGCCAAAATATCAGTCATTAAACTTTTAATGAAAGTTTGTTGGTTTAGTATTTGCTTGAGATAATCAACTGAAAGAAAAAGGTCATATAAGGTTTTAACTATATGAATTATAAATACCATAATGATGACTTGGGCAACAAGTACAATTTCCTTTATCTGAAAAATAAAAAAAATATATTTTAAAATCCTAGTGAATACGTTTTGTGAGAAAGGTAAGGTTTGTTTTTTTTTAACTTAAGAATTTTAAATATTGAAATCACAATACCTACACATTAATTAAAATGTAAGTTCTTCAAAATAAAAATTATGAAAAAGGGAAAAAAGTACCTCCATTTTGGGCAACATTATATATTGTACTGCTGCTTGGTGTTACATTCGTCATAGAAATGGGTAATGGGTAAGCCGTCAATATTAACATTTATCTCAATATTATTCGGACAATTTGGGAATTTTAATAAAAGTTTTTTAATACCATTTTCTAATCCTAAATGAAAATATTGACCAGGTCCAACAATTTCAACAATAGTATGTTTGGGAATCTGTAAAAGGGTCCTTGAATCAAGAGGTAATTCATTATGGATCGGCTTTAATATTTTTAAAAGATCATTTATGGCAGCAGTATGGGTAATACTGTGTTTTACAGCCCATTCTGCCAATTGTAAAGACAAGGCGATATATCGAATATTTTGAGTAACAGGTTCTACATTTATACTACTATTGATATTAATAATATCAGGTTCAAATTCAAAAAATGAAATATCATCTTCTAAACTTAAGGAATGAACCTCAGAATGAGCAATAAAATAATTAGCATCACATGCATCATTTTGGTCATTTAGAGAATTTGGGTTCTGAATTGGGCACAACTCTACCGAGGTTAATAAGCTGTCTCGAGATTTAACTAAAGCTTCAAATGATCGTAACTGATTCTGGGCTTTTTTGTAATGCTTGCTAACTTTGAATTTATACATCATAAATACAGCATAAAATATATACAACCTCAATCTCCCTTGACGTTGGAAACGGACAGGCAAAGTAAAACGAAGACAAAAAATATATAGGTTAGGTACACTTCCTAAAATCTCTAAATATTCTCTTACCTAAAAGCAAGCATCCAAAAGGAATATTTACTATTTTATTATAATGCCGGTTGTAAAAATGTATATGTAATCTAGGAAATGATGGGAATGACAATGGCGGGAATGTGCCCCTTCTTTTACCAGAAAAATTATGTATTTACAAACTAAGTGTAAACTTTCTCCGAAAAATATAACTGATTCGTTTATTTATTAAAATACTACTAATCTACTGTGACTACTTACCAACTCATCCACAAAATACTAAGGATTATATCACTTAAACACTGAAGAACACTCGTTTCTCAAGTCGAACGATCATGAACATAACCTAGCACCTAGTTTACCAAAATCATTTTTCTATGACCAAAATACAATAGTTTACCTTCGCAAAGTAAGAAGCGCGGGCGTGGTGACTGTTTCGTAAGGGAATCAGTTTTGCTATTTCACTCCGACAAATGGATTTGTTTAATGTCCTTTCTCTTTTTTGCGACCGAAACCAACAAGAATTTACAATATAATACTCTTTGCTTTGCCGAAACAGCTGGAATTTATTATAGCCTCAGACAGAGCAGAGGGCGCTACCAACTATTTAAATTTTGGTGGCAATAATTGTTAATAAATTCATGGATAGGTATTCGGTTTTTGCAATAAACGCCATATTCATATTATGACTAACTAACCCTAGGTATTCAATTTATGCATAAGAAACTTTAACTAATTGACTCTGTGACAAATACACAGATGATGGAGCACCAGCAATTTAATTAATTTAAATACAGAAGTGCGAATATATAACCTATTTCATGTGGGATGTCAATCAGGTAATAAAGAAACTTTCCCGCTATTAAATTACTACTTATATGTATTTAGATAAATACATATAATTAACATACGGCTCGACGGGAACATAATATGTACGTACATGATACGTATTTTAAGGATGTACAATTTAGGACTGGATACGTACGTTTTGAAAACGTACATTTTAAGTCCATGTACGTACAGGCCAACATATGACCTATAATGTACGTCTTAGGGATGTGCCATGCTGTTTGGGTAGTGTGTCTTCATTTCATATACAAAACAAAAAAGATATTTGACAATGCACGTTTTAGCTGTCAATGGGATATTTGCCACTTTTTCGATAATACCTTTAAATAAAATGAGTCAAAAAAACTTAATCTGATTTTTTTTATTTTTACATAAAATCATTATTGATCTTGTAATACAAAAAATTTAAATAAATCAAATTTGGCAGACAGATGCGAGGAGCTAGATTATGCATAAGCATTTTGGATTAACATGTTCATATTTTAGTTTGTCACAATTTTTATATTTATATTCATATATATATAACATTAGAAAAAAAATATACAAATTAAATATATTCTACAAATGAAAGTAACAATTAAATATAAAATACACTTATATCACAGCTTTGCATAATAAAGATGGAGCAGCCAAGGAGGTTAACCATCTTCGTTCTCTGATACAAACATTAACAAGAACTGCAAATCCTTTAGGGAAAATAATGAATTATTTACATGAAGACATTGATGCCATGCACGGGGAATTACAGATGTGGACAAATATTAAAAATCAGTTATTCAAGGAAATTTATAAACAGAAAAGGTTTGTTGATTTTCAAGAGTTGGTAGATTTTACAAAATATATTATTTTAGGCTCAGCGTTGAGTCAAACAAGCCTTTATTGGCACAACTGGAGCACCTACAGGATGAAATTATGAAGCAGCAACAAGAAATCCTAGTTGTTCGTAGCAATATACTTAGAAATGAATTAAGAATTAAAGAGTTATTAAATGTTTAACTGTTATTGACAATATTTGTTAAAGAAATTGTTGTCTTAGCTGTTAGGTAGTTGTATAATTCTTAACTGGTTTGTTTCAAGTTATGTTGCGTAATATTTTTATAATTTATATTGTTAGGTTTTATAAGGTATTCCCATTGTTGACATGATAAAATCATATTAAAAGAAGAAAGAAGAAATTACTTCTGAAATCGACAAACTTACATGCGACACTTTATGTTTTGTTTTTTTACCTGTGAGAAATTGTACAGCGGTGTATTGTTAACACCAATGTTTTCTAAATGTGTATATCAGGAAGATGTTCTTTGGAATATTTTAGACCAAAAAGCATTATTGAATCAAAGGTTCAAAGCTACTGATTTTCGAGATACATAGTGCTGAAATTAAAAGAAAAACATATTTTTTTCAGATATATCGGAAAATATCTGTCTCACATTAATTAAACATGGATTAATGACATAACTAATTAATCTGTCAGTCCCCAATATCTTTGCCACTGGTTGACAAGTTTGTAAATCAAATAAGCAAATTTTTGTCAAATAGTTAAAATTTTAAATGTTTACACTAAACTTTTTAGATATGAACTGACTTTTTTTTAATTTTAACACTTGTCCCTGAAAGCTAATGATTTAGCAGTGGTGGCTGGAGAAAATTGATCTAGTCAAATTTTTATAATGAAGCGTGGAACCCAGATGTTTTTTAAAGTAATTCTAAACCCACATGAAATTTCACCATAAAAAAATTAAAAAATAAAAATAAATAAAAACCCCTAGATCTCGAAAAGGATTCCATTATGTTTACAAAATATTATTTTCATAAACAACTGATAAAAAGACCTTTAGCTTTGTATGTAAAGCTTTTTATACTAAAATAATTAAGGAAAAACTCATTGCGGTGACACGAACTTACCAAATAACCTGTTCAAGTATGTCAAAATTGACATTATAAAAAATAAACCATAGTTTTGTAAATGGTTACGGAAATCATAACTTCAATGATCTGCTGATTCATCTGCTTTTCTCGAGTCAATTTTTTCAAATTTAATTGCAACAACCTATGTATTAAATTTTTTCCAGACTTATCAAAATTCTAAAAGATAAATGAGCGATTTCAGGGGATGTTACAAATAAATTTACATACCAGAAACAATTTGATTTGTAGGAACTTAAAATATTTATATTTGGAAAATAGGTTCATTAGTGTATTCTGTTTAATTGCTATTTCCATAATTGATTGTTATTCTATTACCGATTTGTAATCGATCAATACAAAACTGTTTAAGAACATTTGACATTAATCTTTTGAATAACTGGTTCTGTGCCCGGATGAGCAATTTTTTAAGTATAATAAAAAAAAACAAGATAAAATGAAAGTGGCAGTTCCAAACAATACCAAAATAGAATGCTGTTCATATAACTATAATGACCAATTCTAAACTGTTTTTAAAATATAACAGTCCCTGTCAGTGTACAGAGTGATTCACTATATTTTGACCACCCCATTAACTTTTTTGTTTTTAGTTATAAAAAATGTGAAATACAAAAGTTGCACGATTTTTTATGAATTTTTCATAAATAATAGTAGAAAAACAAAATGGCCGGGAATGTTAACTTTGTTAATTTAAATGGAACATCCTGTATATTTTTACATTTTTGGATAGAACGTTCTCTGTCGAGCATAGTCATATACGGTTTGTTGGGTCCATCTCTAACAATAAGCAGATACTATTTAAAAAAGAAGGTCCAACAATTACAAGATATCTTATTTTCTTAATAAAAAAACCTTTTCTTTTTTTAATGGTATCTCGCTTGTTGTTAGAGATGGACCCAACAAACCCTATATGACTATACTCGACAGAGAACATTCTATCCAAATATGTAAAAATATACAGGGTGTTCCATTTAAATTAACAAAGTTAACATCCGCGGCCATTTTGTTTGGACTTCATTTGTTTTTGAAATATTATTTTCGAAATTTTAAAACAAAAAAGTTAAAGGGGGAGAGGGTCAAAACATAGTGAATCACCCTGTACAATAAATCGAATAACATTCATCTATTATTTGTTAACACGGTAATACTACCATTAAGCAAATATAACAATAACAATAATGATGTCTATTAGTTACAAGTTATGTCATAGAGAAGAAATAAAACATCTACAGTGTGTCTACTTTTATTTATGTACAAATCTGTAAAAACTTTATTCAAGATAATTCAACAAATTTTTTTTTATTTTAAATGGCATCGAAAACCGCTTCTTCTGATCCTTCCACGGCCTTCAAGATGGCGATCCAAGGCCTGCTATATTTTCCTTATACCCCTGAATTTCAGTAAAAACACAGCCATTTTTTTATTTAAAATTTGATAAAGCAGTGTGAACCAGGGCCCCTCGAAACCTCTAGGTGTAAACTTTGAACCAAACTATACAGTGTTTTCTTCTACACAATCTCAAAGTTTAAAAAAAACTTTATTCTTCAAGATAATTTAACAAATATTTTTTTGTTTAAAATGGCATCGAAAACCGCTTCTTCTGATCCTTCCACGGCTTTTAAGATGGCGATCCAAGGCCTGCTATGATTTTCTTTATACCCCCGAATTTCAATATAAACACTTAGCGATTTTTTTGTTTAAAATCTGATAAGATGGTGTTAATCTTTTAAGATGGCGATTGCTGGTGTTTTTTTTATATTTTCGAAATTTAATAGTTTTAACAGAGTACACATTTTAAACTTTGAGACTGTGTAGATGTAGAAGAAAACACACAGAATATTTTTGGTTTAAAATTTCATAGGTGTTTTGTTAAAAAAATCGTGAATGGATCAGAAGCGGTCTTTGATGCCTTTAAAAAAAAATTGTTGAATTATCTTGAAGAATAATGAAGAAAGAAGAAAAATTAAAGTAGACACACCCTATGATATTTGTTCTTTGTTCTTAAAAATTTAACTTCACTGAATAACACTGTTTGTATATTTGTGCATACAGAGTGTTGCAATATTTCACCTCAAATATTAGGCAGTTCTATGAACATAATAAAGTAGGTTGTTTCAACCCATAATTCATGTAAATGAGAATAGAAGAAAATTAATAAAACTGTTTTACCCAACATCTCAAAAAAGAAGAGTTTGTGGACATCATATGAATTATAGGTCGGCAGGAAACACCCTGTATTTGACACTCTTGTCTTTTAGAGCAAAATACAAAGTTAAACCAAAAAAACTTTGTAATTCATTGTTGCAAATCAAAAATAAACTAAAAGCTTTATAACAACTATAATATTTATCTATTCAATTTAATTATATTTTATCCGAAATTTTTAATTTACAAATAATGGCCTGTTTCCAAATTCTCATATAAAATATTTTTAAATCAATATACACAACTTTCCTCTAATTGAAATTTAATTATTTGAAGGAAGGTGTCCTAATAGATTTCAATAAATAATGTTTAAAAACACTAACACTTGAAATAGCACCAATTTAAATAACTGGAAAATTGATCAGTCTTATAAAACAAACTTTTAGCCCTCCTTTTTACAACTGTGCCATTTCAAATGCAGCACATCTATAACAGTAAGTATTCTATTTATTTAACAACATATTATTTCTAAACAGAGCTACTCATTCCATTGCCTTGTAAATGTACAATTATAATTTTCTATACTCTACTCTAAATTTTCCTTCTTGTCGCCAGGTGTTCCAGAAAAGAATCGGAAATACACATTTTCTTTTTGACCAGTTATACATTAGAAGAGATTTTTTACTGGTATCCTGCAGAAGAGTAAATTTGGGTCACAATTAAAATTTTCATAGGCATAAATTTATCAGTATCGAAATGAAAGAAGCAAAATTTAACAAACCAGTAAAATTAACAAAAAAAAAAAGGAGATATATTCAAGTAAATATTACACAAAGCCTGTGAACAGCAAATAATGTGGAATAAAACATTGATTATAAAAAGTCGTTACTTTTTGTCAATCTTTTTATTTGTAAGCAAATTAGTTTCTTTCACTGTCAGTATGTATATCACAATTCAACAAATTAACACAAAATATTATGGATGCATATAATACATAGGCAATTCATTTTAATTTCCTATATCAATTTTCACACAAAACACAAAAATAATGATATAGAATCATTTGCTTTATAATTTATCTACATTTATTTTTTACCTTAACGATGGTAGGATATTAATATTTACAAGCTCAGTGGATGTCAGAAGACAAAGATTTCATAAATTGTTGGACTTATTGCTACAGATCATAATGTAACTGAGGAAGTAACAAAAAATAACTTCAGATCAATAAAAATAAATGCTACAACTCAAATAACTCGTCTTGCTGCTGCTCATGTTGCTTTATAGAAGTCCTAACCTTTTTACCCTGCTGTATTACTACTGTGTGTGGTGGTTGATATATATCATTAGAACTGTTATTGTTCACCATTTGTTTCATTCGGGATACTGCTGGTTTCCTCCTCTCGCCGTCAATGTCTAGATTTACAGCAAATCTGAAACAAACAAAAGTTTGCACTATTTCATCACCAACAGCATCACTCAGTCTCATATCGATAACTTCATTATGTTACAAATTGAACAAGATTATGTCACACATTTGATTAGTTTATCAGTTGGAAAATATTATTTTTTTCAAAATAAAAAAAATTAGAAACTATAAACTTTATTGCTTTACATTTAGAACATGCACAAAAAAGTTTGTTGATAGTTTTTTATTTTCATAAAAATTATAGTACAGTTCCTATGACACTTTTTGATAACTCGTTATTAATGGAATTATATACAGTGTGTCCCAGAAGTAACGCAAAAAATTCATATTTTATTATGTTGTGTTTTCACAAAAACGCTAAAACACGTCAATTAGTAAATAAGAATTGTTATTTTGTCACATTGCTTAAACCTTTTTTGCGCTATGTTTCATAAACCTATGACGTCATCGACATTTTTTTTAAATAGCACTACCTAATTTTTAAAGCATAAATGGATAGTCCTTTTGAAGGGAAATACGCAGATATAGGGTTTGGCCTAATTTACTTTGACAGGGGAGAAAAAAAAGCCAATGACTGGAATGGACATGGTTTATAATAACAACAAAAGTAGGTATCAAACTAATGCGAGAACAGTGCCACAGCAAAAAATGGAAATTTGTGGATGTTTTGTGTTTTGGTTGATTGTAGGTACGTTTTTATGTATTGATATGTTGGCGTTTTCGGCGATACGACGAACGGCAGTGTGTGGATTTTCAGTGACAGCTAAAAATGACATTTTGCCTATCATTTTCTATCACTGTCGTTGGCTTTCTAGATCTAGACAGATCTCTAACAGGTCCAGCGTCTTCAAATTTGCGTACTAATCTGCCTACTGTAGATGGAGGTATTGGTTGTTCTGGATACTTGGCATTGAATAATTGACATACTTCATCATAACTACGGATCCTATCTCCGTATTCAACCATAATTAGGATTTCAATTCTTTGTTTCTCATTTAAACACAACACCATCGCAATGTAAAGTTATGGTATTTGTAACTGTCACAATGATATGAGGCACTATTGCATTCGCTAACTGTCGTCTTCAAAACAATACCTACATAGCCGCTGTGATAGGGTGTACCCACCAAATCTACATAAAAACATGTACCTACAATCAACCAATACACATTTTTTGCTATAGCACTGTTCGGGCATAAGTTTGTGATACCTACTTTTGTTATTAATTCAAACCATGTCCATTCCAATCGTTGGCTTTTTTTCGCACCTGTCAAAGTAAAGTAGGCCAAACCCAATATCGACGCATATCCCTTCAAAAGGGCTATCCATTTATGCTTAAAAAATTGGGTAGTGCTATTTAAAAAAAATGTCGATGTCATAGGTTTATGAAACATAGCGCAAAACAGGTTTAACCAACGTGACAAAACAACAATTCCTATTTACTAATTGACGTGTTTTAGCGTTTTTGTAAAAACTCAACACGAAGTAAAATACGAATTTTTTGCGTTACTTCTGGGACGCACTGTAATTCCTAAATTACTTTTTAAATTTTAATATTTTGCCATAGGTTGTTCTTCAGTCAAATTATTTTTTTCAAATTTAGTACTTGTTATTCATAACGAACTGCCCCATACAAACAAAAAAAATCATTAAAATGTTAAATCATTCTAAATCAATCATAAAATGTTTACTTAGCCCTTATTGAAAATAAAATTTAAAAATCACGTTAAAAAACATCAAAACATTTATTGAAAAAAGATCCTCTTGATTTAAGACGAATAATAACCACTTTAGTTTTTATCAACCACATTCTCCGTTTAAATTCTGATAAAAGTATTATTACTACGAGTAGGAATTACACTATTTTTGTGAGTAAAATCAATCCCCAAATACTCATAGTTTCTAGTCCCCATTATAACTAAAATGAGTTTATTTTTAACAAAAGTGAGAAAATTTTTTAAAAATATATAAAAAGCGTTTTCTTGGGCGTAATTGTAGATTCGATACAGAAATTACAAACAAATATTATCTATGTTTCAGCTAAAATTTTCTATAAAATAAAAACTGTTTAATATCTCTAAAAGTAAAATCGCATTCGATAACTCAGCTAGCACATATGAATGTGTTGGATAAGTTTGTGATTCTGACAAAATATAAAAATGGCAATTTTTTCTCCTGATAAATATAGTGACAATAACTGCAGATGATGATGTACATAAAAATGAAAGTGCATGTGTACAGGTCTATGGGCACAAAATTCCCAATAGATCTGTACCAAACCAAAGAGAGGTTCTGTGTTTTCAGTCCATATATAGTATGTCATGTTGCAATTGACAAAGAAATTCTACAGCTAATGGAAGAAAATCTCGTGTCGAATACACATGGTTATATTATCACACACCATGGTATGGAGAATTTTACGAGAAAATCGCTATCGTCCATACAAACTGAAACAAGTCTTAGAACCCGCAGGTTTTGCATTTAATGGGAATTTTATAAATTCTTGGTGTATACCTGATAACTCTAGACTGTAAGTATTCTGAATGGATGGATGAGGTAGTGTTTACAAGCAAGAACAATTTTCCCAATAATTTCAAGCACAGTTTTGGATAAATCTTTGATTATTTGAATTTTGTAATAACAAATTAATTTTATTTGGCGAGTAGAATATAATGGGCAAACAACCAAACATTTTTACTAAGATCTTCAGCAGATAATATTCACGAGCAGTATTTCAATAGGGGACTCTCATGTATGTATTTCTTATTTTATTGCATTTTGTTGTTGCGCATTCGAAATGTGACACGTGCATATTTTCAGCAAAACCCACTAAATGGAAAATTCGTTAAATAATGTCAACACGCATAATCTGTTAAAAGTAACCATCTCCTAGAGAATTGTAATGGTAATATTGAAAAGTGACATATGCTTCAGCGAAATTGTGTGTGCTCTTCAATGCACTATGTGTGTGTGCAATAAGTCACAAATTACAGTTCTGTAAAATATTTTAGTTTTTTAGTTAAAGTATGAAAACTTGTCAAAAATAAACATAATTATGTGCTAAAAATGTCCATCAGTAAATAATTATTAAATAATACTCATAATCAATATTAAATATGCTGTACATTTCATTGATTTGGTCAATTAACCATAATAAAAACCAAGTCAAAAAATGGTTACAATTTCTTAAATAAACAAGTTTAAGAAATATTTTTTGTAGTATTTAAATAAATCACCTTGTATATTAGAATTCATAATATATTATCATTAGACAAAAAATAAAAGGGTTTAGGTTGTCATAAATAACTGTCATTTAAATGTCACTTTTTAAAAATAATATTTTCGAATGTGTATTTAAATTTTACGTGTTTTATTGTCAATTTACGGGCGACAAGTGTAAATACTGCACGCAAATAAATAGAGTAGGCAAACAGCTATTTACCGACCTAAAAAACAAGCGAAATGATAGGATTTATCCCTGCGGAACATATTATTTATTAAATATTACTATTTGGGTTTATATTTTGACTAAATATAAATTTATACCAAGTTATTTGAAACAATATGGACTTAATTATAGATGTACATATTTAATAAAATGTTCAAATTTATAGTTTAGTTGACAGATACAGTTCTATGACCACAAAATACAATATTATAAATGTTAATAAATATGTATAATAAATTTTATACCATAATAAATTAATCTGCAATCTCTTTCACATATTTTGATGTAAAACAAAACTGGGACAGATAATTGTTATCAAACAAATCAGTAATCTTGTTGAAATAACATCCTCAATTTTTTTGATAAGTACAGTAGTTAGGTATTTATTACGCATTATTCTCATAAACAATTTAGATGCAGATATTTTTTATGTATATTAAAATGCCTCTAATAAATTTATATGTAAACTACATACATTTAACTCTACTAGTACTTCAGTACTACTAGAGTTAAATTTGTTGCAAGGTTAAAATAAATGCCGTTTTTTTTTTGTTTACGACATAAGATAATGTACTATTCACTGTTTTAGCTACTATACCACAAAAATGAAATGTTGTAAATCATAAATTATTTCATTATAATTTCAGAAGCCTTTTAAAAATATATGAAGACTAATTTTACATATTATTGTTACATAAGGTGAATCAGAAGAAACGCCCCAAAATCTAGGAATATATTCTATGCTATGTATAACTTTAAAAAAATTAAATAGGTATTGTTCGTTTAATTTTCAAAGTAAACGTCATAATTCCTCACATAATTATTTCTATTGTACATTTTATGTAATAAAAGGTACCTACTATTCTTGCTCGTTTTCAAATTACCACATTTTAAATTAATAAAACACTACAATACACCTATTTTACATAAATTCAATTTAGTTCTCCATAAAAAGATGTTTACGAATTCCTATCAAAAAAGCTGAAGTGGCTAACTTAATTAATTTACGTGTTACTTTCAGGTATTGAAACAATTTTTTAATTATAAAAACGCCTTTATAACAATGTGTATGACTAATTTTGTTATAACGTTTAACTTGAAAACAAATATAAATGAGATAACATTTGAGTTTTTAGTTATTTTTAGATGTAGAACAGACTCCTAGAATAATTAAGAAAGAGTACAGACAATTAAGAAACTTTACGAGTTGTAAAGTTAAACTTACTCGCTGTTGATTGTGGTCTTCTTAACTTCTTCTTTAGTGGTGGCGATTGAGGCATCAATTTTTGTGAGAAATTCATCAATGTTATCTTCATCAAAACTTCTACTAATTGAGGGTGATGAAACTGTAGAAGGACTGACCACTGGAGTTGCTTGTTCACTGGCGATAGGTGTTGGCGTTTCAGTAGGTATCAACAGGAATTCTCTTAAAAATAAACTGTCTGATGCCCATAACTTATTTGCTCTGCGTATTTGTTCTATCTATAATGAATAACATGAATTATTCTTTCTGTGAAAATAAAACATTGTCTTACCGTTACGTTATATTTTAGTGCAATACCCTGCAAAGTATCCGTGTTACAAACATAGTGCTTGGTGTAGTTTTCATTTCGTGTTACATGTTTACTTGTGCTGCCATATTTTTTGAGAGATCTAGCTGATTCTCTTATTGATAACTTCTCATAAGAACCTCTATCCATTATACAATTTGTTGCAATTTTCTCTAACAAACCAACAATCACTTTCAATTAGTATAGTTAAATACAAATTGAAACTTTTGTTTATGCGAATAAGATACAATAGAAGATTTATCACATTATATCAAAGATAAAGTTTCATTACCAAGGATAAAGATAAAAATAAGGCATTGCGAATTAAAATATATCAAAATATTAATACATTCCGTACATTCACCATACTCACTGACAGTTGATTGACCCACAAAACAGCTGACCTGAGACAGTGCTGCCAACAGTGCCAACCACAAAACATATAATAGACTGACAACAGTAGAGTAAAAAATATTGTCAACATGGGTCATGTTCCAGTTCCTAGCGGGCAGCCGACCAGAGCACACGTGTTTTGTGAAAGTGTAGTGCAAGGGAGCAAATTCTACCTGCCTTTATTAAGGCTACCTGGAAAGAATCCCTTTCTTTCCTTTTAATCACCGACCTAATCCCCGGCTTAAGCATAGACGCCGTCGGCATCTTTGTTACAGCACCT